TTTTATTTTTTTTTTTTTTTTTACCTATATTTTTCGTCGTAATACGCGAATAAGTATAAAAGTATAGAGACGAGAAAAGAGGGATGCGGAAGTAAGGTTTTCCACGAAGTGGAAGGTTGGCGTGGAAGTTGCGCTTTTGGCTTTCGAAGGAAAGAAAAAGTCTGAGGACTGTGTGTGTACATACGTCGTACCGTGTGATTTAACGTAGGACGTAATTTAGGAGCGTACGGGCAAACAGCCTCGATGCTTCATCGTACGTTTCCGCTACGTCTACTTCTGTCAAATTTTCCACGCGTCGCGAATGGAAAACGAGGGAAATGCAACATCTTTATGAACCTCTGTTCCGCTGTATATCGTTATTTATATTCGCGAGACAGCGAATACCGAACGATAACCAACCAACGAGGAGAATGGAACGCTACTTTCTCTCTTTCCTTCTTTCGAAATTTATCATCGATCGCGATTCCGATAATTTCCCCGAACAAAATCTAATATACGGTTGAGTTGGTTAAATTTTAAGGATCGTAGAAAAGTTTGCAGGTTCGTGAAAGTTAAGTGAAATATTTAGAACGTAAGGACGGAGTAGTAAGGAAGAAAATAGGAATCGTAAAAGTATATGAAATATACGCGTATATAAATCGATGGAACGAATAGCGTATCTATTACTGTACTGGGAAAATATAATCATTGACAGATTCAATAGTGTACATAGAAATATCGTGTAACGAGTTTCGTAGCAGCTTAATTATGTTTTACCCTGAATAATATTATTTCGTATAATGAAGATGAGTTTGAAAATCGGTAACACAAACGAGCGAGGGGAAATTAATATTAAACATGCACGAAAATGGAGAATTATGTATACAGATATGTATAGAGAGAGAGAGAGAGAGAGAGAGAAATGTGCTGCACCTATGTTACGTTATATCGCTAATAAGCAAAAAGCGAGGGATCGGTGACGAATAATAGGCAAAACGTAACGGTTAAATTGTTGCGAGAGGAGGATAGCGTTTTTTCCCTGGAACCGAGCGTAGTGGCACCGAAGTGGCTGAGAAGGAAGGGGGGATCACCTTTTTTGTCACCGTCTACGTAGACTCTATGAAACTGTCGCGACGAGTATGTAACGAGGTTCGTTTATTTACCGTGTATAAAGAGACGATAATATTATTTTTCTCAACCTCGAGTACGATGCTTATAAAGAATTCATCGATATTTATAGTTTTCGAAATTTCGTTCGTTCGATGATGTGATCATACGGATATAAATCGTACTCGTATGAGATAGATATCATGACGCGTATATATACATATATGTATATATATAATATATCGTTCTCATTCGATACGATTCACATCGAAACGTGGTATTTCAATAACTGAATCTATCCGTCGTGCTGGTCTCCGAAGATTTTTCTTCGCGAATCGAGGAATGTTTCATATTTGTAGCTAGGATTGTTGCTCGTCTTGTATCGTCGTCGCGATATTTACTTCGCTCGCCATTTTCATCGTTAGTTTTATTTTTATTACGCGCGTTTTTTACCAACGCTTTTTATAGGTATTTAAGAAGGTACACTTGATCCTGAGGGAACAGATGAAAGATAATCGCGTTCGAATTATGTAGCTTTCTCGTTTCTTCTCGATCGAGTGGAAACAACGATTCGAACGAAAGGTGAAAAGGAGAATGGATCGTCGTCGATAAGTCGCGAACGGGTAATAATTATTTCGATTTAGAAGGGACGACGATAAAAGTTTGGCTTGTAAGTGAATTTCGACTCGTAGAGAGGTCGGGACTGTTTTGAATTCGAGATAAAATAACACATCTAAATACGTGATTAATAATTCGAGTTAAAGTAAGTTTACGTTTCAATTTGTAGAGGTTTCGGTGAAGGGAATTCAGCGGTGAGTAACGTATATTTGGTAGCAAGAAATAACAAATAACGTAATGGCATAATTTATTATCTTTCTCTCGGCGAGAAGAAGACAAAAGTGTTTTTAACGTTTCGTAATATTTCGTTTCTAAATATTTTCACTCGTAATTTAATAACACGAGGAAAGAAGATGCGAATATATTATGTAATAAAATAATACGTAGATTCTTGCCACGTTGAAATCTTGAACCGTCGCGAACGGAATCGACGCAGCTTATAATCATAATGTTTGGTTTATACGATTATACACGAAAGAGGAATTTTTTTTTGCTCCACGCGTTACATCGTTGCATCGGACTCGTTTGGAGAAAGAAAAAACTTTTTTATACGTATATACGTGTATCTACGTGTATTTATATCGGGTTTAATTTGTGGAACGCGTTATAAAGCACAAGTTTCCGAAAGGAAAGTTTGGTTATAACGGTTCGATAACCGTGAGAGACAGATCCGAAGGAAATTTCGCATCCTTGTGAAACTTGGCTTAGCACTTTCTTCCCCCTCTCCTTTGATAGGAGCGCGTTAAAGGATACGAGAGAGAGAGAGAGAGAGAGAAAGGGGGGGAAGGGGAAGAGAGAGACACCACGTCGTTAATTGGATACGCTAGCGGGTTGGTAATTGGTATTTTTTTTCACCAACAACTAATCAAAGCCGAATGTTTGAACTTGGTCCTCTCCTTACGATAAATAATAAATAAATAAATTTCTTTCTTTTCTTCGTTATATCTGTTCACGCTATCGCGAACGTATTTTTATAAAGCGCAACTTGCAATTCTATTTTCCTTCTTGATCGTTCGCATCTAAAATTCTATTTTTTATATTTTTTTCATCGACTTTTAGTTGCCGCCGTTTCGCGGCAAGCCGACAATCGACGTTTCCATTTCAGATTCAGCGTGAACGCATCTATGTTTTATCTATGATCACGCTTCATGCGTCGCGTACGATTTATTTTAGATATTTATATTCATTTTTATCCGATCCGTGAGAAATCCCGATCCCGAGGTTTCGACCGTCCCGTCGATAAAAATAATATATTTATGAATAAAAATTGGGATTAATTTTCTTAAACGTAATTCGTAAGCTAGGAAAATTTATAATACGATTGTACAGGGGCGCGGTTCGAGAAGTTAGAGATAAACGAGATTGTTTCGTTTGATTTATTATAGGAAAAGACGTTGCCGTCCGACGCGATAATGATTAATTGATTTCGAATGAAACGCGGATATCCCAATGGTCCTCGAACGTATTAGACTGCTTTCAAACTCTATGCATCCTTAAGGCCTTCACGAATTATTCCGTACTTGACGACTTCTCCTCGATCCCTCCCCCCTTCTTGCCATCCAATCTCGAGAGGAAAATTCGATAAATCGATTTCTTATAATACGAAAGGGTAGGGCGCGCTATTGCGCCAAACGATCCGATGATTTTCCCATTCCTACGTTTTCCAAAATGCACATCATTTATTCCCGATAAATTTACGCGTTTACTTTTAAGAAGAAAAATTTCTCCCTATATATATATATATATAATACGTTTGATATTTCGGTTAAAATTTAGCAAAACACGCGACGTTTGATGAAAAAAGATTATCGTAATTATCGTAATTCATCGATATCGTTTAAACATTTTTTAAACAAGTCAACGATTTATATACGTATAAAGTTTGATTAGAAAAGACATCGAGTGGAAAACTCGTATATATTTGTATCGAATATATATATATATATATATATATACGCATCAGTCGAGTTCCCGTAGCATGGTAACGAAGATAAAGTACGGAAAGCTTGGTAAGCTCGGGAGCAACGGACAACGCTGATTTAGGGAGTGAGGCTTAATCTCGGACGTTAATGGACAGCGATTGATATTAAATATCACGGATCGCGTTATCCACGAGCAAATAAGTTTGATTCGCTCGTACATAAGTCACAATAACGAAGGAAACGCGATCGAACTTGTTCGAAAACAATTTATACTTTTCGAACAATGAAAGGATTATGTATTATACGCACATATATGTATATATTGAAAATCAGTGATGTTTGAAACGGTGAGAGAGGAAGGATAGATGCGTTACAATTACAATTGGCGAATTACGAGATGATTGGCAATCGTAGACCGGCGACTGATTGCCGATAAACAATCGGCGGTTGATTACAGTCTGCGCATCGTCCGCCCTCGTAAATACGGAACGTATTAACAAGCGACCCCGGGGTCGGTGCAGTAATCATATCAATTATGATCTATCGGCTATCGATCAAGTCATTAAGATCGCAATCAACCCGGACGATGAAGCAGCCCAATTTCTTTCCCGTCGCCACTTTTCCAAATATCCAACCCTTCCGCTATCCATCTCC